AATTCTATTGTATCGTATCGTTTAATTCCATCGTTATGTAACGATGAAAAGAACCATTTTATATAGGGAAAATTATGCGGTTAGGCTAACATAGCTACAGTTTGCATTAATTATGATTCGAAACTTACTTCTAGCTATAATTAATTACAATTCGAAAATTATACAAATACAAATGTATAATTTGTGTGTGTTTGTACAAAGCAATAGAGAGACTGGATATACAATACAAATAAATATTTATCTATCCTATACACTTATAATTATACAAATACAAATCTCTCTTTGCCCAATTCTCTTCTACCTCTCTCTATATATACACACACAATTTATACAAATACAAATGTATAATTTGTGTTTGTATAAAGCGAGAGAGATTGGATATACAAATATAAATGTTTGAACTCGATTCAATTGTATACGGATACAAATTGTATGTAGATAAACAAATACAATTATTGATACATATACATACTAGTTACATATATACAATTATCTACCCAATATACAAATACAATTCACCTCTCTCCACTCTCTACCCTTTCTCGCTCGCCTCTTTCTTCCCTCTCCCAATCTCGCTCGCCTCTCTCCTCACTCTCTCAATCTCGTTCACCTATCTCCTCCCTCTAACATGTAGCTACGAATCGTAATTGGCAAACTATAGCTATAGAAACTAATTGAATTATTTTGAGTGACTATATGTGAAAATTTCTCTTTTATGTAAAGATCGATTTGGTATGATCGCATCGTTACCTTTATATTTTCTTCTTGTTTTGTCTTTATTTATTGTTTATTAATTATATTTCATCTTTTATCCATACATTTAAATAGTAGTTGTACCTCGTACCCTACTTTTTTTTGTAGATTTATCATTCAAATTATGGATGTATGACATTATGTAACGACGCAGAATGATACAATCTATCCAAACATTGTATTCATTAAAACTATATAGTATTATAGTACAATACAACAAATACAATATAATAGGATACATTATGAAACTATATGTAACAACCATCTCAATTAAGGGTAAATGGATTAATTGATATTTTTTATTCTTTATTAGTTATTACTATCATTTATCTTCCTTTTTAATAACATCTATATTTCTCACTTATTTATAGCGCACATCTTACGAAATTGTGACAAAATTTTAAAGCATTCAGTAATATTAAGACTCACACATAGTTTTTAGTGTAAAATTGTGATAACGATAAAGATTGTACGAGTATAATCATATATCATATATATATATATAAAAGAGAATCTTAGGCCCGCATACGTGGCGCAACCACAAATCAAAATTCTCTTTCAATTTATTTATTTATAAAATTAGTCTTCCCCTTTCATGAAAAGTTGTGAAATTTATGATAAATTGTGACTTTTATAAAAAGTTGCAACTTTAATGAAGAGTTGCGACTTTTAGAAAAAGTTGTGACTTTTATGAAAAATTGTGACTTTAATGAAGAGTTGCGACTTTTATGAAAAGTTGTGACTTTTATGAAAGTTTGTGACCTTTCTGAAGGGTTGCAACTCATCCAAATAGTTGTAACCTTTCAGATAAGGCACAATAAACATTTGTTCACACTATCTTTTGTTGTCTATAAATAGAGAGATTTCCTCTCATTTTAAAACAATGAAAATTCCGAACCTCTTCTTCTTTTTTCACAATTAAATATTTATGTACTTTGATCCTGTTGAGTGACTCACTGACACATTTGCTTATGTAACATATCCTGGTATGTATTTATACAGTCATTAATTTATGCTTATGTTATTAAGGATAAATGATAAGATGTAAAAAAATTATTTTCCTTTACATTATTAATGTTTGTTACTACGTAATCTTATATGTAAGATAATATAGTGTTTTAGTTTTAATGACTGATAGATTTTAAATATTATTTTATAAATTCCATGATATTAAATTTCCGCCCGAAGCGCGGATAATTTTACTAGTATAGATATAATATAATAAGATCCAGAGCTTACCAAAGAATTTGTGGTTCATATAAATTTTAAACTTCATCGATGGTTCTATAAGTTTGATCTTGTTTTATTTTGGTCTGTTTCATAATCTACGAGATATCAGATTCAATGAATTGTAATCATGTGTGAAAATCCAGCAAAACTTCTTATTATTCCATTTCTTAATTACCATCCTGGTCAAAGGCATTATTGAACTAGTTAAAGGTCTCTAAGATGGTGTTGTAGTTTTTTTATTAGCTTTAGCAAAGGTGAGAAAATTTGGGACATGCTCAATTGATTTTGATTAGGAATCAAACCTTGTTAAGGTAACTTTCAATTGATCAAGATTGAGATATAGTTGTTACTAACACAAAATAGAATAAGAGCTCGTTTGGATTGACTTATTTTAAGTGTTTTTAAGTAGGCGTTTGGCCATGCGATACTATATCACGATATGGTGTCGTGAGATGGAATCAGCGTTTGGACATGAGATTTTACGCTGATTCCATCTCATGATTCCATATCATGAGAGGTAATACCATATTCAATAATTGATCCATGAGTTTATATTTTGTTAAAACAACCCCACATTTATATCTACTAACCATTTGTTTCACATGTAAATAAAATTTATAATCACATCATTACTTTTTAAAATTTATTATTACTTTAAATTTGGTGAATATAAATGATAAAGTAGAAATTCATTTGGTGAATATAAATGAGAACGAAGGGAGTAATACTTTTTTGATTTTTCATAATAAAAAAAAACGTCTTAATCTTATGACTAAGCATAATATTGATAAAAGACAATTTTTATTGGCGGTGCCGCACTTTCTTAATCTTAGTATTTGCAAAATGTCCGTTCATATGACTGAAGAATATCAAGTCCAATTGATTGAGGACTTGGGAAAATTTGATCAATTAGTTATTAATATTTAGTCAAGTGGACTAGTTATAATTTTTTGATTAAATTTTATTAGAAGTGTTTTTGACTCAAACTTGTGGTAACTTTTTAAAATTTTGTTATTCAATAATATTTAACTATTGATTTTTCTTGTACATAGTTAGAAGTCAGTGATGTTTGTTAATTTTTGTCTCAGTGTATTTAACTTCTAAGTTAATATTTACTCACTAATGTATGTTTTTTTTCTACTTTATAGGTTATTTGTAAGAGTAGTTGAGAGATATGAGCATATCAAGTATAAGTTATGTTCAATTTTTTTAATTAAATTAAAGTGAGATGAAACAATTACTTAAGTGAAGAACAAATAACTTTGTAATAATTTATTATGCGATTTTATAATTTTTGTTTATTTGATAAGATTGAATAAACAATTGGGACTATTTTAATAGTTTTATAACTTATGAGATTTTTATGTTTATGAGAAAATATACAACACAAAAATTCCATATCGCATGTCCAAACAAACCTTCAGTTTTATCTCATGATTCCATATCATGTTACCATATCATGATTTCATATCATGATACCATATCGCATGGCCAAACGGGCCCTTTTTAAGTCAATTTTGTTTTAAAGCACTTTTGAAATGTTTGGCTAGCTTAAAAAAGTGCTTATAAGCGCTTAGTTCTAAGCTAAAATGATAAAAATAAATGAGAAGTCACGGAATCAGAAACAATAAACAATATAACATAAAAATAGTCCATACCAACTAAACAATAAAGAAAATAAATTGCAGGAACCAAAATTCCCTATTTTAACACCATATTTCATCTTTGTTTCCACATCTTTATGGTCTTGTCACCCTCACAAGTAATAAGTATTGTACCAGTAACATCATATGTGAGAGCATATATAGCAGCATCAGTATCCATAGATGATCCAGGTTGAACCTTCGTTCGAGCTTGCTGAAAATTGTGACCGCTTGTCCAATCCCAAAACCACAAGCTTCCATTGTCACCTCCGGTAGCCATTACACCTTCATCATTCACCGCCATTGCATTGATTATCGTCATCTGTTGTGGAAGCATGTTATGTAAAAGTTGTCCATTCGGAAGGTTGAACTTTTTTATGTTGCCATCCGTCGATGCTGAAGCAAAAGATGAACAATTTCCCTTAGGATGATGAGCCATCGCGCGTACAGTTTTCTTGTGATGAGTGAGTGTTTCCATTGTCTTACCATATCTTATATCCCACAACTTTATGGTTGAGTCATGAGAACCTGTTACAACTACTTGAGGATGCGCGGGGAGAGTCAAAATAGACGAAACAGTGTTTTCATGTCCAGAAAAAGCATGAACGTGTGTTTTAGTCCGAATATCCCAAACCCTGCATACACAATCCCTAGACCCTGTGAACAAAACGTCGATTGTAGGATGAAGAGCCAAGCAATATACACCATGTAGATGACCATGAAAGGAATGAATTACCTTATTTTGTTCGAGGTCCCAACATTTAACTTGTTTATCCTCGCCACCTGAGAACATGTTTTTGTTGCGAATAGCAACGCCTCTTATTTGCCCAACATGACCCGTCAACGTAAGCTTTAGCCTACCACTTGCTAAATCCCATATCTTGATAGTATGATCCGCGGAACCTGTACAGAACCAAGTATTATTAGGATCTACTGCAACTGATCGCACCCAACCCGAATGACCACTAATAACCCTGTAATTTCTCCAACCTCTCTCCATTATGTCTATATACTACCAATAACGGAACCAGAATTTTTAATAAGGAGGTTCAAAATCTGAGAAGTAAACACACGAACTACTCCAAGGGGAGTATAAATGTCAGATTTTGATTTCATAATCTCATAATAATACCCATATTTATAATAGTACTCTGTATTAATGACCTAATTTGACTAAAATTAGAAAAACAATTACCAAATCCTAAACAATTTAGGATTTATAATCTTCCAAATTTGTTTAAATTATTACTAATTTTTAAATTTGAATTTAAATTTGAATTCGAACAGAATTAGGACTACCTCAACTGTGCGTGTAAATTACGAATAAGAGTTAAAAGCTTTTATAAATATTCCGCCATTAGAGCTTACCTCTGTATTCTGATAAATCAATGGAGAAGAGAATTCAAGAGCACGCTATCTGCAATGCTACACGCCTTTTTTTATGGAACGAGAATCTCACAAAGAATCAGATTTCACCTTCCGAAGGCTTATGCATCTGTTATATTCGAAGTACATTCACCACGATTCAGCCTTGTATATTCGATTACAAGTATAAAAAACTCACAGATTGGAAGCATTCTACCGTCATCCCGTTTGATTTATCAAAGTTACTGAACAAAGATGCATCATTAGGTACATTGCTTGTTTCTTCTACTCTTCAGTTTCTGCCGCAAACTATCAAACAGTTAGGGGACGATATCTCTTTTTCTCTATTCACACGATTTCAATTTACTCAAGCTTTTCTTAAGCCATCGCCACGACCTACGTACGTAATAGTTCTCGAAATCTCACATATTCGTTGTTGCGATTTTCGTCCTCCATTTGATTTAGCCTTACCGCCCAATTTCCTACCTCCTCTTGCTCCGTCTCATCGTCGATTTGAAAAGAATTGGAACGATGTGGCAGCTTGTGTGAGTAATGTTGAATTTGTTAACGATCCGTATAATCGATATCGTGGGGATGTTGTTGCGTATCTGAGGAAGTTAAGGGATTATACTGGTGAAGGTGGGATTTGTCCAACGAAACCACCTATTGCAGTGGATGTAGCTAGAGGATTTGTTGAAGTTGAGGTATGTTATCGATCGTGGTGTCCAGGTTCAGCTTATTGCATTGAGGAATTAGTAGATGAGAGTTGCCCTGTTTGTTGTGATGAGTTTAGAGATGAGAATGAAGTGATTGCAACTTATTGTTCGCATGTTTTTCATATAAAGTGTCTATTGCCATGGCTATTGAAGAAAAACACTTGTCCAACTTGTCGAGCTGTTTATCCTTTGCATTATTCGCCTATTTTGGATCGTCAACTTCAGTAAAAAACGATTCTATAGCAAGAACTTGAACCTGAGACATTAGTTAAGAGGAAGGAAGGAATACAGGAATGTGCCAATCGATTCGACTAGTTTGCCTTGAGTTAGGATACAACCAAGATCTCCTCTTTGATTCTTAGGCCGTTTCAAGTTTAAGTCTATCCATGAGGTCCACTAAAAGGTCACCCTCATCTCCAAGTTATATTCGGCAACCAACTGGGGTCATGTGGATCCGGCCTCCCATCTGCCCCCCTTGCCTGGACCTTCCATGACGGAAGTACATAAAACGTAACCTTGATCTCCTTACTTTCTCCTTTAATAAGATCGAGCTAAGGAGTGACCGAGGATCGACTTAAACTTGAAACGAACCGTAATTTTAGATGTATTGCTTTGTTTCCCTCAAATTAGGACAATGGAGAAAAAGCCTTTTGAAATAAAGTTGTTTTGTTTCTCTCAAATTCTCAATTACGGGCTGTTTTGCCTTTCACTCAAGGTTCTTATCAAATATTTAAAGATGATAATTTAATAATATAAATACTTATTCACATATAATGTTTACATCAAATTAATACAATTTATAACGATTAAGTGATTTAATATAGTAATTATGTACGCCAATCAATTAATCATGAATAATTATTAATTATATACATTCAAATATATATCTTGCATCCATTAATTATTGGGAAAATTGTATATAATAGCAAACTATTAATTCAAATTAAATGCTATAAATATACTTTGATTTAATTGTACCCTACAACAAACTAGTGCTATTTTCGCCACTCTCCCTGGTGGAATCTCGCTCGCCACTCTCGTTTGGTGGCAGTCTCGCTCGCCTCTCTCACTTTATACAAAAACGCAAATGTATAAAATGCGTTTGTGTTTGTATAAAGTGAGAGAAAATTGTATATATACATATATTTTCGTTCCCCTCTCTCCCCTCTCCAAGATCTCGCTCGCCACTCTCCCAGATCTCGCTCGC